TTGAAGACAACGTAGCCTTTCCTGCAAAGACCTCCAAAAGTGTCCATGGTCTCTTCTTCATCTGGGCAGCCTCATAGATTCTATGTTGTAGACGTAGAGCCTTCTGCACTCCTTGTCTGATGCTCCTCGTCTGTCTCCGGTTCAAGGTGATCTTCTTGACTGATGCCCCTGCTTCAGCTTGCAGAGTTGGATGTCCTGTCTCCTTTCTCGTCTCCTCAGATAGAACTCCACAAGGACCAGGATCTCCAGTTTGAAGTAGCTCCTCAAGTAGAGCTCCACCAAGACGTTGAGCTCCAGTTTGATGTGGCTCCTCCGATAGACCTCCAGTTTGATGTAGCTCCTCACAAAGGTCTCCAGTTTGATGTAGCTCCTCAGGAAGATCTCCACCAGGACGTAGAGCTCCACCAGGTCGTAGTCGGCCTTCCATCACCACATCCACTCGTTCTATTTCACGTCTCCTCTGCTCAGCTGTGGTTGGGGCATTGGGGTCCGTCAGTTGGAGCTCTTGGAGCCCCTGCGCTTGTCTCGAGCCTCCTTCTCCTCTGTCTCGCCCAATGCCAAGGGATACACCTTCGGGTTGAAGCACAGCTGACGGGCGCTGCCGAGATGTCCCCATAGTCCCGCAAGGAACCTGCCGTTCATGTGCATGATCCACCTGGGATTCCTCTTCCAGCGTCTCTTGGTTGTCTTGTCGGACTCCACCGCCTGTTTCATCCTCAACATCAGCAGCAAAAGCTTCCATTTGAACGTCAGGGTCTGTTCCGTGATGCTGCCGAGGATGTTGAAGGTGACGTCGTAACTGTACCGTTGCGACAGGGTCGGAAAGTCTGCTTCTCGTCCTGTGAGGGCCGCCTTCTTGTTCTCCTTCTTCTCCTTGGGGGCCGTCTGCCCAGATGCCGCCGCCTTGCTCTGGCTCTTCGCTTTGGCTTTGGCTGCTGTAGCCATCTCCTGCATCTCCATCATCATCGTGGCCATCTGAGCCATCTGTGCCTGCATCTCCAACATTTCCTTGGGCATCTGCGGTGACTTGCTCTGAGATCGGGCTCTGGTGTCTGACAGCGTTCTCGAAGCTCGGCGTCTCACCGACCTCGATGTCCTCTGTTCCGGCTCCTGCAGCTCGTCCGACGAGATCGCATGAGCCTCGTCCTCCAGCATCCCGACGTTCTCCCATGGGCTGTTGTCGACCATCCGCCACCGTGTGCACCGTAAGAACGGTAGGGCGCGTAGGTGGTGATCCTTTCACCGTTGATCCACTGGAAGTCAGCGGAAACACTTCATAGTGTGGCTGCAGAACGAACTCACTAGGAACAGGCTGCATGTCAGACAACTGATCAATGGGAATGACATAGTGACCTCCTGCAGATTGACGTAGTCCAAACCTTTTGATGCCATACTTCTTAGATGTCACTGCATGCGATGACGTGTCGACCATGAGACCCAAGGTTGTGCAGACAGGTTTTGACAACAATGGTGGACAGTTCCCTGCAACAACTGAAATCCGCAAAAGACATGGGATGCCGGCTAAATTCACATGGATGATCACTGCAAACTTGCTTTGGTTGATGTGCCCATCCCCAAAACGAAACGATTCCTTCTCTGGGACAACCTTGCAATACCAACCATTTCTCTTCCATTTCAAAACCAGGGGTTTGACCCATGTCGTCCCTGCCACCGTCTTCATGCACCCCAAATCCAAAATCATCTTGTCCCACAACTCCGTCAAAGACCAATAAACATCATGAGTAGTGATAGATGTAGAAGACGAGGTAGTCATGAAGGTGTTCTGAGGTCTCCCCCCCCTCTGTGGCGCACTCTTGTACATCGCCTCGGACTGGGCACACTGTCGAAGGAAATCCCAGTCGGCATCAGCTTGTCTGTTGCCTGCTGGAAAGGTGACGTTGGTCGCATGCACCGGTGCCTTGTTTCTGTACGGGCACTCTTGCGACCAATGTCCCAATTGTCTACAGATGAAGCAAGGCTCCGTCTTCTGTTGTTGTTTCACCCAACGCTTCACTTGTTCTCGGTCTTTGTCTCCTTGTGGGCCTCCTGGTGCATTGCCTTCCTTCTGGAAGTACTGTCTCATCTTCTTGATCTCCCTCACTCGATTTCTGGCTTTGTACTCTTGTGCAAAGATTTCGGCCATAAAAGCGTCCGATGTCGAAGGTGAAGATGAGATGGTAGATGATGTAGTTCCTGTCGACGAAGCTTCCATCACAGAGGTCGCCGACATTGGTGGTCCGCTGAACGAAGTCATGTCATCCTCCTCCTCGTCAACAGATTCATCTCCAACACCATCTGCTGTGATTTGTTCATCATCCAAGCCATCCTCATCAGCTCCATCCTCATCTTCAAGGATCGCCATCAACGCGTCTCGGAAGCGACGCCTCCCAAAGAACTTTCTGCGGTTCTTCCTCACGCCAGGTGTCGCCGTAGAGCTCTGCAAGGGTGAGGTCATACTTGATGATGTAGTCGCCTTCTGCACCAGGTACTTGTCCTCCTGATCCAAGGTCGGTTCGCCACGGCCAATCGGACATCCCGGTTGGCCCTCCAACTGCTCCGCCAAATCCATCAGCGATGTGGTCACAAGGTCCTCATCCTCCAGGGTGCCTTGGCTTGCAGCCTTCACCAATGCCAAGTCCCTCTTGGTCAAGCGGGCTGCATCCAAGAGATGTCCAATGTAAAACTTCGATCCCACCTGATAGGCGGGTGAAGACTGGTTCTCACGCCTGTAGATCTCGGCGCGATTCAAAAAACTTTCAATTGATTCTCCATGCAAGCGGGTCAGCTTCATGAATTTCTGTCTCCTCTGGTCCACCTTCTTCTGGTCAAGAAGCTTGATGATGGGGCTCCTCTCCATCTCCTGTTTGATCTTCTGGATCCCGTCGGCTCCGGAAACCTCCTCCACCGTCAAGTGCTGCACGATCTTCCCTGCTCTCTCGCGTAGCTGCTGCATCAGTCTGGGTCCTTGCATCTCCTGGGGCAATGATTTGCCCTCCGAAGCCACCCAAAAGGTGACACTCCTCCAGTACTGCTCCCAGCTTTCTCCTGGTCTTGCGTAGAAGATCGGAGGGTACGACGAGCTCAACTTCCCAGTCGTACCCATTGCCTGTTGACTCTGGTTTCCGGCCACCGAGGGAACACCACTAGGCACATCTCCGATGGGCCTGTTCTCAGGATCCTTCGCCCTAGGTGCCTGTGGTGACACCGGTGATAGGGCTCCATCACTCCCGCCAAAAAGTCCATGATCGTCTGGTTGAAGTTCTCCACAATGTCGATCTTGTCCATGCTCATCTCGGGATAGTGCTCGTCCATCAGATAGGGTTGACCAATTCTCATCACCTGCATTGTACCCTCCTTGCTTCCAATGCCAGTCAGATCGCCAACCGGTGTCTGACCATCCATCTCCGGGCTCTGATGACGTAGTATCCCAGTTTTGCCATCTATCCCAACTTCGCCTACTCCACTGAGACGACCTCCAACTCCACTGCGATCCATGCTCAGAACTTCGAGAGGAATGCCACTCCCCTGAAGCATCTGACCAATTCTCGGCCGCATTCACCTGCCAGTTCTCATTGTCGCTCCTCCAAGGGTCATTGGTCAGCCATGGATCGTCCATTGGGCTCTCACTTTCACTTCCGGGAGCTAAGTCACGATGCCCTTCTCCCGCACGTCCTCCATGTTCACCACGTAGAACCTGCTGCACAAGGCTGTCAGGAACAAGCTCCGAGCTCGAAGACCCCAGAACTCCACTAAGAAGTCCATCTCCCATCACCGACTCGTCCGAGTCATTGAACCTCAAAGTTCTGATCCTCCAAGCTCGTCTTCTCCTGGCCTCCTCAAACTCCGGCATGGGCATCCCGGCAACCTCAGGTCGTTGCCTCTCTTCTGCTCCCGGTCGGGTGTCCGGGGTCCATGGTTCGCTTCCATCTAGGGATCCTCGCGAACCAATCGGCGCCGAGGCGAGGGCCGCCATGGTTTAGGCACAAGCCAAGGGTAAGACACCCTGAAAACTCAGGCCACAGACGTGGCTCCGCTACCACTGAAAGTGCAGGACCGCACACCAACTTTTACCCTAGCCTCGGGCCGTGACCGGCTCCCAGTCAGGCACAACTCACAATAACCATTCAGAACAGATAAATATCCATTCGGAATGGAGACATAATTTCACCAAAAGGATGCATCAACCTCCATGTAGAATGGAAAAATATCGGTTCTGGATGGGCAAATCTCCTTGCAGGGTGAATGAATGCTAATTGATGATGGTAAATTGTCAATTCTTGCTGGAAAATGTTGTTAACTGTTTCATCTATATATACAGTACTTTCGTTCAAGTTTGACCAAAAGGAATGAAACACCACCTGTTCAGAACCAACAACTTTCATTCAGCATGAAGATTTCTCCGATTCATTTTCGAGCACATATATAGACACTTTTCTCTTCACCATGGGAACAATCAAAAGTCCATTCAGATGCTTCATTTCTACATTGCTCTCCTCGTGACTGCAGCACCTCTGAGTTGTTTTTTTTTTGAAATTTACAAGCCCAGGTTTTTCAACTCTTGGGTCCTGGGTCATGTTTTTTGCTAGCTTCCAAATCCGGGTTTTCCCACTTGAAACATGTTTCACCTCAACAGGGTGAATCCGTATTCCCTACACATGCTGAAACGCTTCTTTTTTCTATTCCCCACCAGCTGGTGCAAGTTAACACACCCTAATATCAAATAATATGAAATGTCACCCCAAACCCTTTGTTTAGCATTGGATCTATTCATGTTTGGGGGCCATATGGGAGTGGTTTAATAGTATATTAGGGGGATTGAATCAATTATTACCATTATTGCTCTGATTCTCGCATGGCAATTCGGCCAACTGGAGGATTCTCAAAATGGGGGTACCCCCAAAATGGCTTGATTATTCATGGATAATTTGTGGCTAGCCCATGGTAGCCCTTTCTGGTTTCGGAAAGCTCCAACTGAACGTTCCTCCGTTTCTTCAAGGATCTGGCCGCGCAGTAGACGAAACGGATGTCACTCTCACTGTCCAAACTCGACAAACAGTTGACGCAGCAAAAGCCTGAGCGGATATCACCACTGGATATCACCAAACAGTTTCCAGGAACCTCAAAAACCTGTCTTTATATCCAGGATATAAACATCACATAACATCACAGGATTTCCAATGTTTCACCAATGGATATCACCACGGGTATCAATTAACCAACAATGGATACTGAATAACAGGTGATAAATATAGTGATTAAGCATTGGAAGCATTGGAATTAATTCATTGGTGGTCCATGTGGTCAGAACTTTTCAATCAAGACTGAATATATGATTAAGATGGCAACAGAATTCAATGGAACGCCCAGGTGAAATAAAGGAAAAACCACGCAGCAAAACAACACACTTAATGCGCTAAACAAAATGCCATGAACCTACAAACCTGGATTGTTTTTACATGTTCATACCTCACATTTCTGCTGAATCATTCGAAGTTGTTTATCCTTATTGGATCTGACACAACCAATTATTTTAGATGTGATCTAAATAATGCTCAAATCTACCACCACCATTCATTCCTACAAACATAGACTAACAATGAACAATCCAGGATTTCTGTCCATCTCAAAAAAATCATGTCATTGCCAGATTCATCTAGACATGTGGGACTAACCCTTCATTTCTATAAAAATTCCACTTCTGAACGATGCGTATATCGATCCATGAAATCCCAGCAGCTTCCATCCTCCAGTTGCCATTTCCGCAATGATTCAGCCACTGCCTCCCGGCGGACACGGCTTAGGTCGTCTCCCAGAATGAGAAGCATCACCAGAGCCACGTATGTGTTGGCAATATGGGGCTGGTTGTTTACCTGGCATGGCAAGGCAAAGGAACCCAGCCGGGTAAACATAGAGAAAGATGTCGAAAACCAATGGGTTAGGAACATGATCTACTTCTATGGTGGATTTTCAAAATTTATGTTAGTTAACCGAGTTAACCCGAGTGTCACTATTTTAGGCCTAATTTGTTATGTAGCGATAGGGGATCCCGCCAAACTTGCCTTCGTGCAATTCTGGGAAATAAAGTAAGGACCCCGATCCCAAATATTTTGATGTGGTTAGTGGTTAGCAGTTACAATTCTTTGGAACTTCCATAGGCTAGCGTGAAATGCAACTTTAAAAATCTTGAATGGGGCTATGACCCAGTCAGAACTTCTAGGGGGTCCCTTATGGTGGACGTTGAGGCAGCGGCGGATCCGTGGTCACATTGGACGATGGCGTCATTTTGCCTGTAACCACTTGGTACTGTAATTAAATGCCTGACCAATTTCATGATGAATCATCTTCCGTCTATGCCATTTATGACCTCATTGTTCATCATTTTCCCAAGGGGCAAGTGAATTAATTCATCTTAACTCTATATTATATATTTATATATATATACTGGTTGGTGGTTTCCACCCTCTGAAAAAATATGAAAGTCAATTAGGATGATTCCCAATATGTGGAAAAATAAAAAAATGTTCCAAACCACCAACCAGTATTTATATATATATATTCCATGTATTTCCATATAATCCACTTAAGTCTGGGGGAAACATCAGGAATGCCCAGGTCCTGCTGCAAACCACTTAGTGATCGTCATGGTATCACCTGTCTTCAAGTAGCTACGACGAAAGCAAACATGTACTGTTAATACCACTGCAGAAAAGATCAAACAAATACTATATTTCTAGCTAGTTCGTATACATCCTCCCATACAGCAACATATAAAAATTCAAAGTTAAAAGGATTCAAAAGTATTAGGTTATCCAGTTATCCATCCAAGATATCCAAGGTTGAACCAAACGTACAACAGTCTTCCGTGTTTTCCGATGTGAATGGTGTGGGATTTCCTCAAACATTGGTTTTTTGGGGATGTCTTGGGCCTAATGATTTTGGGAGTTTGGGATCAGAGACTTCTGCCACCCTCCAGATCTTCCAGTGCCCTCACCTTGTCCAATTCTGGACTTTCAAAGTCAACCTGAAAGAGGGATTCAACGGGTTCAACGTGGGCCCTGTGCTGAAGAAACGAAGAAACGGGGCAAAAATACGAGGAGTTCAAAGGATACGTTTTGTCTGTTATTGCTTCTTGAGGACAACAAATGAAAACAAAGCACACATATGCCACTAAATGGATGGTAGTGGATACATGATATATATTGATATATGATATATGTTGCTCTTAAATCATGAAACCATTTTAAAGCCCCTGCCTTGGGGTAGCCGTAGAAGCCCCCGTGGCCATCGAAGGGAGACTGGAAGGAATAGATGTATTCGATGGTCGCTTCAGCCGAAATCTCATCCAGCTTCCCCAGCAGATCAAGCCCAGAAATGCTGAAATAGAGCAATGTCAATCCTGACTGGACCACTGGACCACTCATCTCACTTAGCAAAATGGCAACGGGACATCCTCATACTTGTCGGGTATGGCGCATCTACAAACAACTCTCCCTCTCTCTCTCTCTCTCTTTCCCAGTTTAGACTTCTGTAGGTACCAAGTGGTCAGCATGAATAAAACCACTTGTCTACTTCTATTTATATTTCTATATACAAATGATATATCGGTAATTAAGTGTATAAATAGCCTATATATGCCTATGCCATATATGTAAGTATAGCCTCCCTAAGGATCACCCAGCGCCGGCTGTTGCGAGTTCCAACATCCAGAGTCAGAGGGCGAGCAGCGATTGGTGTCCATTGTCTTGTACTGCTCAGGAAGCGATTTAGCGCATTTCTTAAAGAACATGACATGTTTCGCGCAGTCGAAATCATCAATTGTCAACTCCGCCATGGCAATGGCGCAAAGCTGCAATTCACTGAATGCGGCTGGGATGAGGTAAAAATCCCCTTCAACAAGATACGTGTCGAATGGTATGAGTCAACTAATCATAAATCATGTTCATTTATACTGTCCCTTTTCTTTTTGAATAGTGCTGGAGGTTCAATGTTCAAATTGACCGGCTGCACTTCATCCTCGAACTGCTGTGACCTTGTTGCCCAAGGCTGCATTGCACAAAGCCCAAGGGAAGCGAAGCAGGACCCGGACATTCAGAGAACTTAACATCTAGTCATCTAGTCTAATAAAGTCTTCATCTGCTTTATCAGCCTCAAAATTCTGGCTGCTGATGCGTTAAACCATGTGTATATAATATAGCTATACAATGTTATATATTGTATATACGTGCAATAGCACCACACATTAAAGCACGCATGTCAGATAACGACTTAAAACAGAACCAGCTATACGCGCTAATGAGGTCCCAATGGTTGCGTAACAAGTGAGGTCTGTTTGCAGTTGGGCCCGCGGTGGGCCACTATGGATGAGTCCCACCGCAAGTCCAACTGCTGATGGCCACCCAATATTTCGTGGCTGGATCATGTCATATCAATCCGCCTTTTGTTTGATAAACACTCCCCTGTTTTGTTGCTTACATCCACATTTTTTGGCTGCTAAAAAACAACTTTCCTCATGGTTGCCCCCTTGTTTCGAACATGGTTGCTTAAATCATTTCAATAAATCCCAGTGTTGAAAGCTTGAGACTCCGATCTATCGTCTTTCAGTGGTGAAATCTCTATACAGTACAGCAGTTTGCCCTGCATAGCTATGTGGGTTTGTCTGAAAATGGGGTCTACCTCAGCCCCACTGATGATGTAAGTGCATATTTTCCCCTTGGGGCGCCAACCATTTTCAGACAAAACCACGTGTTTATGTTCAATTCTTCCAAGTTTGCTCTGCACCAGGCCTTAAAGGCTTCATCTGATCCCAAATGCTCTTGGATGGTATCGAAGCTACCTTGCAAGCCTCAACTTCCGGGCAGCTGCCAGGACCGCCAGGATGTCTGTGTGGTTTCTGTACCCTCCAATAAAGGAAGCCTCAAAAGAATTGTCATCATCGGTGTTCACCCAAAATGGAGATCCCTCGGCATAATCGCTGCATGGTGAAGTCCCTAGCAGCCATCGCCCTATCCCACGACTGGATCCATGATGGTTTAAAATCCCACGACTGAATTACCCCTTGAAAAAATCCTTTACACTTATCCATATGTTCAAAACCCCAGTTCTATACTGTTCTATAAGTTGGTTATTATAGTTATAGTTGGTATTGAAGCTTGTAGTGGCTTGAATCACCATCTAAAACATCTTTGAAACTAGCCCTTTTTTTCAAAAGGTGACATCCATAGCTCTAAACCCATCGAACTTTTGTTCCATCAAATCTTCATCTTCCTATGGTTACATCAGGTGTTCAATCCCCAGCCCATTTTCGATTGTTCTCTCTGCCACCAATCTTTCTCTTGACCCCCATGTTAGATGCTTAAAACTGCCATTTTCCTGTGCTTTCACCACATTTTTTCAACCCAGCATTTAACCCACCAGGTTTTTCATGGTTTTCCGGAAAAATCTCCAGCTGACCTGCTATGGGAGGATTCCCGACCTTCACCATTGGACATCAGGACGTGAGGAGATGATATTCTCTGGTAAACCTACAAAAAGCTAGTGAAAATGGCTATTTATAGTGGATTTACCCATGAAACATGGTGATTTTCCATAGCTATATTGTTAGTTTACCAGAGGGTATAATTCATCCACATGATTAATTATCCATGATACTGTGGATGGAAGAAGTCCTGCACCAGTTGATAGATGGTTTATCCCATTATTGATAGGGTTTCAACCAGACAAGGCGCTGCAGGATTTCTTCCACCCATCGTATTTTCCATTACAGTATATGTCCATTCTACCACCAATGTTGGTTAAGTCACCGTTTCTGATAACGTTATATATGGTTATACCATCAAGTACACCTTGGTGATGGGAAAAACTTGTGGCCAAGGTCCTCCCGTTATATTATATAAATCCCATTCAATCTCATACTGATATTCCCATTGTATTTTCCATCATATCCCATAAATCCAATTAAATCCCACTATATTCCAATTCCATTATATGCATAATATATACATGTATATATATATATATATTCCAGTATATTCCCATGATATTCCCATGATATTCCCAGTGTCTTCCAATAAAAATCCCCTGGAACTCCCAGATCTGCTCTGCTCCAAGGAGCTGTGCGCTTCCATCTGCAGCAGCTCCGCGGCGGCCTCGAGAACTGGGCCCAGCTCCTCCGTGGGCAGCAGCGCGCGCAGCGTGGCGCAGCGCTGCTGCAGTTGCGGCGCGGCGATGGCAGCAGCCGTGCTGGAGGCCAGGATGCCTAAAGAAAGGGGGCTCGGTTGGGGCTTGGAAGGCTTGGAAGGCTTGAAATGGTGGGATTTAAAAGAATCCCATAGGATCCATGGTGCTGCTATATATGGTAACATGGATCCCATCAATATACCCCCAATGTTAGTATATACATGGATCCTATGGGAATGTGAATTAGGAATATTTCGGAACGAATATGTTTGGAGAACTATTCGAATTATGATTGAATATGATGTGGTGACAGAAAAAAATACAAATGAAATTGATGAAACCAACTGCCAAATTAGCGCGTGAATTTGATTTGATTCTTGTGATTGCAATCTGCAATGTCTTCAACCACACGTGCAAGGTGGGCTGTCAAGACACAGCTACGCCCAGATCTATCCAAGACACGACAGGCAGATTCGGCCCCAGTTTCTTGCGCCAGAATCTCCACTTTGCGTTCCTGGGCCAAAACGGCCAACGGAAAGGCGAGAAGATCTACGCCCATCAAGATCCATAATGTGAAATCAAAACAGAGGATCTCTACTTTGCATTTTGACATGTTACGTCATGTTACCAGGTACCTCCAGGATCTTCGGGCAGTTGTAATAGCTCGAGAAAGTTGGGATGGAAGAGCACCTGACCCTTACAGAAACAATCATTACGACTCAATTACGACTCCCGATAATTATATTTAATTTGTCATTGTCTTGGTGATTGCTGCCCTGAAAGATCTAGCAAAGGCATCAGTTTCCTTCTTGGCAGGTTGTATCGGTGCACTGACCCAGCAAAGGTTCTCACACTCCTGAAAGAAGCCACCGCATTCTCGAAGTTTTAGTCAGTCATGTCTAAGATTGATACTGGTTGGTGGTTAAAAAACCATCTTCAAACATATGAAAGTCAATGGGAAGGATTATCCCATATACATCATATACTATGGAAAATAAAAAATGTTTGAAACCACCAACCAGGATATGAACCACCACTAACAAGCCTCACCACTGCTGACCCACGTTTCATCTCTCGATATTACTATACTACCTTTTCCAGGATGACTTTCCGATGCGACATCAGATTGCTGGCGAACTCCAAGCATTTCCAACGTTTTCCCAAACGGGTCCAATTACTCATATATGTATATATTATAATTATATACTGGTTGTTGGTTTCAACCCCTCTGAAACACCAACCAGTATATATATATAATATATATGAATATGTGTGTGTGTGCTCCACCCATCAAAATTCCACTCAAAGACCATCAACTGCCAGCAAGGTTAACCGCGGAGTAATAATAAACCCGGAGGTTGTTTAATGGGGAGGTGTCCCATATTATATATATATATATAAAGAACAACAATTTCCACCCCTAATTATTCATTCCAGGCCTGACATTAAAAGAACCATTAAGAACCGTGTGGGAAACACAGTTCATTGGATTAGTTTCAGGGGACATGTACCGGAAAACACAAGATTCTTGACGGTAAAAACATGTCAAAGCATGGTTTCAACCTGTCAAAATTGTCCCTTAGACCATCTTAAACCCATTCCAACGGTGTTTCAATCTCCCCACTCTGGCCCAAAAATGGGCCAAGTGTCGTAGATCCACTGCTTGATCTCTTCTTCCGTCCCATGTTGACACAGCTTGGGCCAAATCGTGGCTGGGGCTTGACAGCGCAGCGAGCCCCGTGGACCAGGCGGAATGATGCTGGTGAGATCTTGGCAAAGGATGCGCTGAGCCAACACATCCTGGGGCATGGATGCTCGGATTCGGTGAAAATCATGGGAATATCATGGAAAAATTCACCAAGACTTGAGAGATGTTCAGCCATAAAACATGTTTTTGTTTAGTCGGAGACGTCGCAGAAACCGTTGAGACCAGTTCACTTAGGGAGCACAGGCCGTTGATGAAAATTCAAGAGTCAGACCAGACCAATAGATCGCTGTCCACATCCCAAAGTGGATGTAAATTATTGTACATTGGTTCATTCTTGGGATGTCCAACGGGGGTATTATACCACATATGACAAGCTTTGACTTTGGCCCACAACCATGATGTTCCAATCCATTCCCACCGAGATGAAAATACCCCGCGTAGAAACTTCTGATTCGGTCCTGGTCATATTCATTTGGAGGTCCTTTTGTTGAGGGGGAGGTATTACTGTGATATCGATGGGATTATGGCAAAAATTGCAAAAAAACATGACCAAAAAATGCGACCGAAGCCGCTCCCAGCTCTTCTCGAAGATGAGAGAAAAAGAAACCAAACTGCTGCCCTGATGTCAACAAGTTGGGCTCCTGCAGGGCCAGGAAAAGGACCTCTAGAATCAGTATGAATCAGTGAACCCCAGTATCCCACTAAAAATGAGTGGGAAATCATGAAACATATCATGAGGACCCCATCTGCTACCTTTCTGTTGAATTTTGCCGGAGTAGATCTCCTATATTCAGTTTGTCAGTCTTGTATAAAGGTTCTCCACTGGCTGCCAGCAGATCCAGCAGAGTTCATACCTTCTTCTCTAACAAAATTGGATAAAATTGGCTGGCTGGAATCCAGATTCGGATAGTTAGACTGCTTATGTTTGAGGTTGATTTTCCATTTACCATGCTGCCATGTTTGAAAGTCAGGGCGTCCTCAAGTACAACCAACCCCATGTAGCCAAACATTGATAGATTCCAAGCGTAATCAAGAAACCACAACAAATAAAGTCATTAACATACACTCGAGTAATGTAACATAGCTATGGGAAATTGGCAATTTATACATGATTTACCATGATTTACCATAGAAAAATGGTGATTGTCCATGGCATCTTAAATCGTCAAACATCACCTCCCCTGTGCTCCCGCATGATGAGGTGTCTCAGCAAATCAGGACGCTGTGGTGAAAGTTGTTTGAAGAGGAAAAGGGCGAAGAAGTCCTTGAAAAACGAATGGCTATGAGTTGGGACTGGTAGATTCTGGTAGGGAAGTTATCAATATCCCACTTCTTTGAAGCTAGGGTTGTTAGGGAAAGCATTGGAAAACAAGGGATTCTCAATAACTAGTAGGTGTCCTTATTAGTTTGTCAAACCACAATAAAAGAGACTATATATACATTACACATATCCACATCATGTGGCTGCTGGTTCGGCATTTTAACCATCAACATGAAAAATGACTCGTTCGTGGCTTCAACACTATTAGTCTATTGGGAAGAGAAGGAGGGAAGGAAGTAACTCAAATAAAATCTAGAGACCCTCACCTGGCAATGACGAGAACCACACCGAAAACCTCCAAGGCATCCTTTTTCGATCCCTCCAAGGTCAAGGTGCTGGGCCGCAGCCAGGGACTTCCAAGACCTCTCCCGACTGCACGGTTTTGGTGAAGACCTGGATGCAGGTGATCTTCTCACCTCAGATGTGAAGATGTAAGGATGGTCCAGGATGGTCGTCAATACGCGCATTAGTATACAATAGTATATATATATATACATACACACACACATATACATACATATTATATATATAGTACATATATCATGTATGTATCTGTATATGTATAGTATATGTACATGTATATGATTTGCATGTAATTTACACATGTACGACGTATAGCAAGTCTCAAATACACACGTTAGAACTGATGGACTCCCGGTTTTTCATGAATCCATTCCACATAATACAGAGAACTCCACTGGTGAACAAAAGCATGTTCATCATCCTTTTACCCTCCAGCAAACTAGGGCGTAAACTAAAATAGCGATGGAACATGGCCCATTTATATCCATTTTAAAGATGATTTAATATGATTTACCTACAAAAACATGGTGATTTCCTTTTAGCTACAGCTATATCTTAGTTTACCCTGAAAAAAGAGCAGACCTTAAATGTACCTTATTAATGGTGATCACACACAATGAAGGACCATCAGCCCCGTTTCAATCCCATCTCCCAAGACACTTTCCGGGCTCGCGCGCACGGAGGCGTGCAGCTTCTGCGGCAGATCCTGCCAGCCACTGGCATGGATCCAAGCCTCGGAGCGCTGTCAGCTTCGATTCTTCAGTGAACTTCGTGTTTTTTCACACCTCCATTTGGGACTCAAAACCTCCATAAACCTCACGGATTTGATGAATGGAGAATGGATGATAGATGATGAATGACACGTTAAAATTGTTGTTAAACAAGCTCTATGGAATTGAGACTTACTAAAAACACCATGCATTTTCTCCTGCAAAGGAACCATGTCAGTTTTATGCGTCCAAGTCACTGGCGGAGTTGCAATTTTGACCTGAGACGATCGAGGACAAGACTGCGTCGGCGACAATGTGTTGGATGCGTTTTCTGGGTGAAGCAGTGGTTCTTACTATGGTCCTACAGGCGACTATATAAATCTATATAACAACACGAGGATACACTAGGTCACTGGGCATTTGTTCAGTTTCCAACTATGGGAACAACACTTTAATAACCCTTAACACTGTCCAACTATGACATGAGCCTGTACGTGATGGATCCTATGTGGATTGCCTGCCTTGTTTCAATGCCCTGCAGCGGCAGGAATCGAGAAGTTGGCATTGATCCTTACTGACTGCCTACCCACATAAATAGTCACACTAAAAAAACATGCTGACTGGGAAAAAAAAAAACATTTGGCCCATGTCATGTGTACGAAGCATTAACTGCCTTTGTATCGGGAGATGCTGCCTATTTTGCAATCAAATACCTTCACCGTCTCAATTCATCATTTACTGTCAACAAAGAGCACGGCATGGAGTTTCGCCTTCATACCTTCAAATTCTCTTCCATGCTTCATCTTCATCTCAATCCATCTTTTGCATTTTCCCAAGTCCTCCCCAATTTTTTATTGCACTAGTGTTGTTTCTTTGATCCAATTCGGATATATCATGAATTATCATGATATGCCCTACTTTCCATCATGTTTCCATCATTTTCCCAGCTGAATTTCCAGCATCTTCCCATCTTCCCCCAGCCCTTCCCCCGCCGGAGCCTCCGCCTCCGCAGCCTGCGCCTCCTGGGTGGTGGCCGGGACCACCGGTGCCTCCGGTGGCGACGAAGCTTTCGAGCCCTGCCGCGAGGACTTGCTGGGACGCTTCCTGAGATGTGGATGGTGGAAGAAATCCGATTTTTACCACCGAATTTGGATGGTTGAAACATGTTGAAACCCTATAAATCATGGGATAAGTCATGGGATGGATAAACCATCAACTGGTGCAGGATTTCTTCCCTCCCCAGTGTTCTGATCTTTTTGTTGGAGGTTTTTTCTTGGTTGGCCATGTTAGTTGACCATGGTGAATCCCCCTCAGTACTTCTTCATCCGCCCAGCATCTTTGCATCTGCCTTGGGCGCAGCGATGGGTTCCTCCAGTTGTTCCACTTCCATCTTGGGCAACGGGAACAGCAGCATTGCTACCTGGGTCGCCGCGGGGTCACCCTGTGGTGGCTGTGGATTCTGGTCAATTTTTTGTCTCTCTTGTCAATTTGGGATCCAATTTCCGATGTTCTGCTGGATTTCATTTATCAAAGGGGGAAAATCAAAGGGTTTGTTGATACCCGGCTAGAGGTCAAACCTTGAGTGTGAGATATGTAGATTGGTCTTGCCCCATGATGTAAGAAAATATCTACCATGATTTTTGGCCAATCCATCAAATGAATGCATTGACAGCATGGCATCGAGTCACATTTGATCAATTGACCAAAAGGATCCAAAAGGACCAACTCCAAATGTCCAGGTGAGACAGTCACTAAGCAACACTTTTTTCCAGCTGAGGATTTGATTCAACATGGATCCTGAACAGTTATCTTCAAGGCGCCAGCGTCTGAAAGAAACTGAAAGATTGCCTCCACTTAGATGGCTGAAATAAAAAAACCATGATGACAGGGCATATTTCTGCCAGTCAGAGGCCACCATTTGGGTCATCCCTCTAATTTCACATTTTCTTTTTCAGTGCCGAGCTTGCTCAATTCAATCCCATTCAACATCTCCAAACAAATCTAAGTTGGACAAAAAAACACATCAACATTTAATTTTCTAACTTGGACCAAGAAATCTGAAGAAAATCCAAGTTGGACCTCCAAAATCGCCATGTTTCTCCGCCCCGCCCTTCAAGGTGGGCTCTATGACATATGACCAAACAAAGTCAAGATGATTCCAGTGTTTCATGTCGTAGCTACCCTTTACGCCACTGACATTCGACCTCCATGTTTAAAATGGAGAATGGGATTTTTTTCAGATGAGAACATGTCACGTGAATTATGGTTGGAAGTACTTTCAATATTGTCAACCCGATACTATTGAAACTTGATGGAACTTGTCTATCCTTACATGTCTTTACTATCCGCACTAGTCATCTTTAGTAGGTCATAATTGAGTACTCAAAACTATTTGTATATTCACAGGTCAGCCACCAATTAGGTATTACAACACTAATGGGGTGAACCTACAAACCGCTCAGCTCCTGGTACTTTTGAACCAACGCTATCGGGCAGATCGATGATATATACAATACATGGTTTTACTGCAGGAGTTTTTACACCCCCCTCGGGCGAGCAGGGACGACTGCGGAGAACGAATAACCCAGAAAAGCATACCCTTGCGGGTAGCCGAATTTCTTTAGTTGGTTTTAGACATTTTTATGCAGTCTTTCAAAGGTCCCTCTAAAAAGCTCAAGCCCGTAAAACCCAGCGCAGCGTTGCAAGGAAGGCACATTACCATGCTACATCTTGCGCTATGCTACAAAAGAAAATCATCGTCTCCCTAACGGTTCCAAAAGATCCAACGGCCGCCGGCCTCGTCACGGTAATACCAAGCTCCACGCCAGAAACTCCATTCTCGGCGTGCACCATAGTGATCACGATTCCAACTCCAAGAGGCATCCGGGCGACCGGAGCTTGCAGCCTTCGAAGTGACTCCTGCGGTTGCTGCTTTTGCAGTGGGCGGTGTCTCAGGCTCCAAGAATGGTCGTGCTCCTGCTTTGGATGTTGGTGGTTCGGGTACCAGAAATGGTGCGGCTGGGGCATCAGCGTGCGAGGCATCTGCGCGAGCAGAGCTTGAGGCGGCTGTGACATCTGTTGCGGTTGCGGATGCATCAGCTTCGGCTTTGCGCTTTCGCTCAATGGTGGGCGCGACCGTGGGGTCGGCCTTATGACCTCCAGGACCTCCAGCCTTTGCAGCGGCGCTCTGCTTCTCTTTGCGTTCAAGATTGCTCCGAACCAAGGGAAGGTTTTCCTCATACACCTTTTCGAGGAAATCACGAGTGCCATCAAGAGGGACTTGGACAGTACCCTTCCAGGTCAACAGGCCACGGAATGCGCCACGACGGCCGATGTAGCTGACATATTCATCCTCTGTAAAAATGTGGCGGCCAAACATGAAACCCCAGACCTTCTTCCATGTTTTGCGGAACTCAACTGGGAAGCCATCAACGCCACGAGGCTGAGACATGAAAATCAACTTAGATAAGCAGTTCTCATTTTGGGCATTGGCGGCGACGCCAGCCGAGATCTGAGCTTTGGTCCTTGGGGGATCGGGGAGGTTGCCATATGCGAACATATCGTCAAATATGCAGTCCTGCAGGTCCTTCCCCTCACCGTGGATGCGGTCGCAAAAAGTGACGTCGCTGGTGTATCTATCTTCCACGTCCTCGTAGCCCAGCGCTTTTGCACGTCGATGCCTGTCGCGGCAGTCTTTGAGGACTGCTGATTCCACGGATGTGATTCCCCTGGGGCCCAGTTCTCGGCGTAGCAGGTTGGCTTGCTCTTCCGTCAAGGCTGTCAGCAAGCTTCCGCTCATCTTCCCAAACATTCCGAACCCGGCGAGACTTTGCATTCGCCGTTCAAGGATGCGGGTCCTCCTGTTGGGTTTGTTGGCCTCTTTTGTATCGCCACTTTCGTCCACTGGGAGTGGCTCAAAACCACATGTGGTGCATGTCACTTGGCCACTGACGTACTCAACCTGGCAGAGGGGACAGGAGCCCATGAAAGGTTCGCAGTACTTGGGTGCAATGTAAACACGGCGCGTCCTTGCGGGCGGCTGGTCAACTTGCATTGAGGCAGTGGCTGCATCATCATCAGTGGACTTGGCATCGGGTCGCCCCGTGCTGGTGTCATCCATTGGGTCGTCATTTGCATCATCTCGGGCAGTCAAGGTGACCGCTTTGGCTTTCGGTGCTGAGGCAGATGCCGCGCCAGTCCATGTGCTGGGCTCGAGATTGCTCTCGGCGCGGGACCAAAGCACCTGTCCTTCTTCTGAGATGCTGACCAGAAACTGCGGTGGGATGCGTTCTGAGCACAAAATCCCATCCATTTCTGTGCGACTAAAGATGACACCAGCTTCAACTGCTTGCCGCATTGCGATTTTGACTTCGATTGGACATTTTGCTCTTAATCCAGATCGATACCCCTGCGTGCCAATACAGTGTTCTGCCATATAGATATGGGCACGGCCACTGTTGACTGTTGCACCGCCGCCTGGGATCAGGCCGTTCTGTGCGATGCTCTTCCAGCTGCTTTTCATCGTGCGATGGAAGACAACCTCAGGAACCTCAGTCATGGCACACAGGGGCACGCCAGTGAAGGCGGCTTTTCGCTCGGGGGATACATGGTCTGAGCAATACACCATGGTTGAATTGGCATAAAGACCCCCTGCGGTTTTCAAGGCAGCTTCGGAGTGACCCTGAATTGCACGGATTTTCACAGGATAATACGGCATGCCTAGGCCATTGTCGACAGGAAAATGGGAAATCTTTGCACACAAGAATTGGAACCTACTCTTGCCATGCTTGTCGATCTTCATTGCGGTGCCAAACAGGTTTGCAACAGTGATGAAAACATCTGGGGGCACTTCCTTGCGGAAGGCTTTGGCGAAATCCTCCAAGTCAATCCAAAGGTCTTTGTCCATTGGCACCTTGGCACAGGATCCATGCCCCCTGCAAACTTTGTTGACACGAGTCGCAAAGTCAGAAAACTTCTTGTCGACGCGAGTCTGGCTGGCAATGGTCTCAACGTCGGATGCCGATATCAGCTCCAGCTCATAAGCCGTACCTTCAAAGAGGATGCCAGGCACATCGTCCCCGTCTGCATTGGTCACCATTGTATATTGGTATTCAGGCAAATGCTCTTCCATCCAATATGCTTTCACGTGGCCAGATGCTTGTCCCTCGAAGCGCGCAGTTGCCTGCGGCTGGTACTGGCTGGATGTGGCTCCCTTGTCATCTGCGGGCTCATCCATTGATGCTGGTGCTGCTTTCGGCCGCGACTTCAACATGACCTCAGCTGTCTGGACCAGGATTGTTGCTCTGCTGGATGCAGCGGGCTCGCCGTCGCCGGCGGCCTTTGGAGGGTCATCTTTGGGAGGCTCAGCAAACGTGCCCGAAGGCATCGTCTTGATGTCGATGTAGTCCTCAGTGTCAGGTTGTTGAGCTTCGACGTCCTCCTTGGTGAATGACCTGCCCGTCGGCACGATGTGTCTTCGGGACTCTCCAAAAAGCAACTTGGTGATGTTTGCACATGTCTCCTGATAGGATCTTGGCAGCTCGTCCAGGACGGCGCTCATGTTCCTCCGCAAATCATCCCATGTCTCCTGGGCACACTCAGAAAGCTCCAAACCAATTTGGCCGACCCGCCATCCGGAATCAAGTGCGAAAAGGGTAGCTGTCCAATAGGCAGCAAGGCGCGTGCGATTTTCTTCAGAGTTGGCGAAATGCCACTGGTCTCTGAATTCCATTGCATCGGCGTACCCCTTTGCTTTTAGCCACGGATACCGCGGATTGGCACGCCCTTGCGGGCTGCTGGTTAGAGCTTTGAATCGGGGCTCCAAATGGTCGAAAAATTGATCGAAAATTGGATGAATTCCGTAATCTGCGCTCCAGGGCGCGGTCGTGAGACCGGCCGTCTGCAAGTCCAACTCCCGGGCCTTGTTGATGAACCATGTCAAGTGGCGCTCACAATCATCCAGGATCGTGGGCCAGTGCCCGTTGGGACCATCGTACGGCCAATTTGGATTTTGGGCAATTCCATCCTCCCCTACCAATTCATTTCCGAACCAGGACAAGTGCAGGTTGATGCGTGCATGAGGATAGCGCTCGCGGGCGTCCGCGGCCAATTCGATCCCTCTCTTTACCAACTCTGCAAAGTTTTGCCCCAAAGCATCTCGTGGATGAACTCAGTCACGTACTTGGGTTTGCGCTGTCGGTAGTGCTCGGAAAGATCAAACTTCTTAAGTGTCTTCCTACGCCCTGTGATCAATGCACATGACGAGTCAGAGACTAAGATCCAGATTACGTCATTGACGGGCATCTCTGGCAGCATGATCTTTTCGATGTGGGACTCCTTTGGCAAAAAGCAGAAACTAAGGTATTCTGCAAGCGGATCCTCTCGACCATAGAACCTCAGGGCCGAAGCCGGCGTCCATTC